TTTAATAGGTTAATCATTCATATTTGGACAACTTTTCTGTTGTACTTAGGAAGGAGAAAAATAATCATTACCTTAATAATAACAATTTAAATAGATTTATTCAACTGAAACAATAACATTCCAGCAGATGTGATTTGCTTAAACATCCATGTTTGTAACTAATTTGGCTAAACAAAATATATATATTTGAAGAAACTTAGACTGTCAGCCCCTTCCTCCTCACACTTATGCAGGCCATAGATGGGTCGAAAATCGGCTGATTTTTTGGCCGAAAATAAAATCGGCCGATTTTCGGATCGTTAGTGGGCTATTTGTTCGGCCGTTTTTCGGTATTTTGGCCGTTTTTTTTTAATGGTAAAGTTGGAAAAAACCGATAAAAAGTCTGCGCATGAGCAGTGACCTGCAAGAGGAAGACAAAAAGAAGAAAAAGAAGAAGAGGAAGAAGAAGAGGATGAAGATAATGATGAAGAAGAAGAGGATGATGATGAAGAAGAAGAAGAAGAGGATGATGATGATGATGAAGAAGAGGATGATGAAGAAGAAGAAGAGGATGATGATGATGAAGAAGAAGAGGATGATGATGATGAAGAAAAAGAAGAAGAAGAAGAGGATGATGAAGAAGAAGAAGAGGATGATGAAGAAGAAGAAGAAGAAGAGGATGATGATGAAGAAGAAGAAGAGGATGATGATGATGAAGAAGAAGAGGATGATGATGATGATGATGAAGAAGAAGAGGATGATGATGATGAAGAAGAAGAAGAAGAGGATGATGGTGAAGAAGAAGAAGAAGAGGATGATGATGAAGAAGAAGAAGAAGAAGAAGAGGATGATGATGAAGAAGTAGTAGAAGAAGAAGAGGAGGAGGATGATGAAGAAGAAGAGGATGATGATGAAGAAGTAGAAGATGAAGAAGAGGATGATGATGAAGAAGTAGAAGAAGAAGAGGATGATGATGATGATGAAGAAGAAGAGGATGATGATGAAGAAAAAGAAGAAGAGGATGATGATGATGATGAGGATGATGATGATGAAGATGATGATGAAGAAAAAGAAGAAGAAGAGGATGATGATGAAGAAGAAGAGAGATGATGATGAAGAAGAAGAAGAAGAGGATGATGATGAAGAAGGAGAAGAAGAAGAAGGATGAAAAATAAGAGGAATTCCAGTCCGGCAAAAAGTGTCCCTGCAGAGAGCTCCGCTATTTCTTTGACAGTTCCTTGACATTTATAGCGGTTGCAACAATGTATCTATTTGTTTCCGAATAAAAACATCTGTATCCTAAATGGATACAAACAGATACATTGTTGCAACCGCCTTAAATGTCAAGGAACTGTCAAAGAAATAGCAGAGCTCTCTGCACGGACACTTTTTGCCGGCTGTAGACGGGATGAAAATAGGCCGATTTTTTTTACCATTGGTGGTAACGTCGGCCGCTTGAATGACCGATTTTTCGTTTTTTAAAAGAAAAAACGGCCGTTTTTCTCCCCGTCTATGGCCTGCATTAGTTTCACTTTCTTCTTGTGCAGATCTATTCCACTCCAAACAATCAGAAAAATATTGTTTCTATTCTATTCACTGAACTTCTTGAAACTTAGCACTGAAGGGGTTGATTCTGTATTCATAGGTTTGTAGAAGTTAGGATGAAGGTCTTTTTCTTAACTCTGTTCATGTTATAACATTTTTGCTGTGAAGAAGAGGCATGTGATCTCCGCTGAGTCAAATTCAGTTTTGAGAACTGCAAAAGTAAACCAAACATCTGTGATAATATCTTGTAGGCAGAGAAACTGCCCAATAATCTTACAAAAACCTCTGGAAGAGCCTGACATTGTGAATGGATTCATGGAATTTATTTACCAAAAAAATTAAACATATACAGCCTTATTCTACATAATTAAAAAACTAATCTTTATTTCATGATGGAATAACCTTTGGATGGTAATATATTTTCCTCAAAAAGCATTTTATTTTAAAAAAATTGATTTAAATCAAAAAAATTCTATTTAAATCAAAAAAATCCGATTTAAATAAAATAAATCAGATTTTTTTTTTTTTTTTTAAAAATCATTGATTTTTATCCACCCTGATATATATATATATTTATTGAAATATATTTTGAAATATATTGAATACGGCCAAAATTGTAGCATTTCAAATATATGGCAATATATTTGGGAAGAATATTTTGATAATATATTTAAAATATATTTTTTCTTCCATGTGGGTATATACAGTATATTGCCAAAAGTATTGGCCCCGCCCTCCCAATCATGTGATTCAGGTGTTCCAATCCCCTCCATGGCCACAGGTGTATACAATCAAGCCCCTAGGCATGCAGACTGCTTCTACAAACATTGGTGAAAGAATGGGTCGCTCTCATGAGCTCAGTGACTCCAAGCGTGGTCCCGTGATAGGTTGCCACCTGTGCAATAAGTCCATCCGTGACATTTCCTGGCTACTAAATATTCCACGCTCAACTGTTAGTGGGATTATAACAAAGTGGAAGCAACTGGGAACAACAGCAACCAGGTGGTAGGCCGCTGAAAGCTGGCATCTTATCCTCTTCCTCCAGCCAGCTTTTAGCTGCTGCAGAGAGAGCCATACAGGGGATTGATTTCAGTAATTGCCCCCCCCATCAGATTCACCCAGGTGCCTCCCTGTGCACCATACATTTCTCCCCATTGCCCAGCCCCCCTGTGTGCCCCCTCCTCCACAATGCACGAGTAGGTGAATAGCCCCGTAGTCTTCTGGGACATGTCACGTGTCCCAGAAGAGTATGGGGAGGGAGGGGGGAGGACAACTTGCGCTTTCGATCGCCTTGGTAATCGCAGCGAAAGTGGGCGCAGGTACCTGTCTATTTCAGGTACCCACTCCCCAAAGATGCCAATCCTTAACAGAGAGCGGGGAACCAGTCCTCAAAGCGGAACTTCCCCTTTTAGGTGGAGCTCCGCTTTAAGGAAGGCAAAAGTCTCTCCCTGTGCTGATACAATAAAGGACCTACCTAGTTCTGCAGTGCAGCCCATCGCTCCTGTGTCCTTGCTCCATTCCTCTGGGCTCCATAGACTGCACAGGGCCCATGACCAGACTCTACACACTACAGCTGCTCACCCATTCCACTGCTGCCATGTCTATACCACAGCACCATCTTGTGGTCAATTTTCAGACTGCTGCATGTAAATCGTTCACACCTGAGCAATTTAAAAGTGTTATTAAACCCAAGGCACTACCTGCCTGGAGTTTGCATGTTCTCCCTGTGCCTGTGTGGGTTTCCTCTGGGTACTCCAGTTTCCTCCCACACTGCAAAAAATAAAATACATTTATAAAAAATGGAAGACTGTATAGTGCAGTGTACCATGCATTACACATTTTGGCTGCATTCGTTTTCTTTATTTAGGCTTTTCCCCTCTGTTTTCACCTGGTGATCTGGCCAGTAAAATACCTCCTGTATTAGAGTGCCCCCACTCTGGATGAAGGAGCCCAGGCAGGAGTTTTTTTCAGTGGGAACACATTTTTGGCACCTCCAGCACTGACTTTATATAATGGCAAGGGCTGCTGGGGTGTGCTACAGGGTCTATTCATGATGGCTGCTGGGAGATCTATTGCCACTAGAGGTCTATTGATGATGGCTGCTGGGGGACCTATTTCTACTAGAGGTCTATTGTCCCTGCTGGGGGATGTATTGCCACTAGAGGTCTATTGATTATGGCTGCTGGGAGATCTATTGCCACTAGAGGTCTATTGATGATGGCTGCTGGGAGATCTATTGCCACTAGAGGTCTATTGATGATGGCTGCTGGGAGATCTATTGCCATTAGAGGTCTATTGATGATGGCTGCTGGGGGATCTATTGCTGCTAGAGGTCTATTGTTCCTGCTGGGGGATATATTGCCACTAGAGGTCTATTGTCCCTGGTGGGGGATCTATTGTTGCTGGGGCGTCTTATGTTTCTGGGTGGTCAGTTGTCATAGATAGTCCATTGTTGCTTCAGGGGGAAGGGGGGGGGTTACTGTTGCTAGCTGAACGAGATCTATTTTACTGCTTTTCTTGTTACCATTAACAAATTCCATACAAATTACTTAGCACCACAAAAATGATCCTTGGTTCTGCATTCTCTAAAAGGGTGGTACTGGGAGGTGGGTAGGGGGTGAAACCAAAGATTGATGCTCAGATGTGGCTAGGGGCGGAGACAAAGGGTGACTCAGAAAAGGGAAGTTCCTGCACCTACTGTATTCTCTGAGAACAAAAGCCTTGAGCACAAGGTTCACCTTTCTACAGCAGCATTGTCTGTCTGGAAGGAGGGGAATGGTAGATGCACTAGCAGATTTTGATACACTAACAAACTGGAGCAAAGCTCCAGCTCACACTGCAGTTACGACTTAAACATACAAAAGATTACTGCACAAATGGGGACTCTGAATTAAAGTGTTACTGAACCCACAAAAGTAAATTCAGTCTGTATATGCAGTAAAGCATGCTTGTTATACTCACTGTGCAACCTAAGGGGTTAATCCTCTGCATTGTTTAAAAAGGATGTTTGATCCGGTCTTCTCTGCCCTTCCTCTTGTTCAAATGTCCACGTCTTATCTCCTGATAAGACAGACTGAACCTGTAGCCATTTTGCACATGTTCAGTTTGGTTTGTATTGCTAGAGAGGTGTTTTTTATTTCTTGGGAGAGTGCATGTGATCAGCACAGGGCCAATCAGCACTGTCCAGACAGAGGTCAGGGATTCTGCATCCTTCTAGAGCAAAATGAAAACTCCTCCTACAAGCTTTAACCAGTGCTCTGCTGGACACTGATAGAAGTCACAAGACTGCTCTAACTGCTTATGGGAAAAAGAATTTAGCAGTTTATATTTACTAAAATTATTGCATTTCTATGTTCCATGTACTGCGGGAGACCAGATATAGTGAATGCAGGGTCCTTCCTGGGGAAACCAAATATAGTGAATGCAGGGTCCGGGGAGACCAGATATAGTGAATGCAGGGTCTGGGGAGACCGGATATAGTGAATGCGGGGTCCGGGGAAACCGAATATAGTGAACGCAGGGTCCGGGGGGAGACCGGATATAGTGAACGCAGGGTCCGGGGGAGACCGGATATAGTGAACGCAGGGTCCGGGGAGATCGGATATAGTGAATGCAGGGTCCGGGGAAACCGGATATAGTGAATGCAGGGTCCGGGGAGAGCGGATATATGCAGGGTCCAGGGTTTAGTAACACTTCAAATGAGTAGCAGCAAAATAGAGGGAGTGCTTTATTCAAGGTGCTCCAAATGATGTAATTTCTGATGCAGCATGTAAGGCGTGACTGGAAGTTGATGTCACCACGCATGCGCACATTAGAACAGCATTCTGAGTATGGTAGTACACCTCGTTGCCATTTGCTGTATATTCCTGTATTGACATTTCAACTTGAATAAAGCACTCCTTGATGATTTTACACTATGACATCATGGCTCTCTTTTCTCCTTTCTTTCCTGAGCATCAGCCAGTGCAAGCAAGTCTAAGCGGGGAGAGGTGAAGAATTCCGGTGAGGAGGTTCTATTACCATTATGCACAAACGCTTTTTGACTTTTTTCATCACTAAGGCTCCATTCACGCACTTTTGCGTGTTTTTTTCACACGTTTGTGTACGTTTTGTTCAGGCGTTTTTTGGGCTTTTTTGAGTTTGGATGTTTTTGTATTAGTTAATAGAGAAATAGACATCATTTACTATGCCAGAAAGATGCTCTTAGTCACATGACAAAATGCACCAAAGCGCACGGAGTTAATTTTATGTATTTCTATGTATTAAACACTCAATTCTATGTATTTCTATGGGAATGAAAATGTGCCAAAAATGTATCAATCTGCCTGAATAGAGCTACAAAAGTAGTTCCCAAACATTTTTGAGCTTCAGGAGACTTGGAGTGGAGATGTGAACCGAACTATCTCCATACAGTAATATGGATTTTTTTTTGTCTCCCTGAACTTTGCACTACAGAACACTCGGGTATGAATGGGGCCTTAGAGTCACATGCCATCTGGTAAGCTCACAAGGCTGATGTCTGTGTAAAGCACTGGGTGATTTTTTTTCTTTGATCATCTGACACAATCACAGAGATATTCCAGGAGAGGAAGAACCTTTATGGTGTTGGGCTTTATCTTTTGATTGGTGGTTTATAAAGCATTAATTATTTAGTTCACAGGATTATGTTATGTGCTATTGAAAGATGAATGTTATTTGATGTGACACTCATATACATTGATTAAAGGAAACCACATCAGATCTCAATGGGGAAAAATCTCCTGCTGGATCTCTATACTGATATGGACGGGTAATGTGTGAGGAAGGTAAGGATGCCCATCGTTTGATGGAAATGAAAATAATCAACCTACAGAGGACTGAATTCAAAGATACCCTGAAAATCAAAGTGAAAAACTGATGCAGCAGGCGAGTCCATTTTGATGAAATTTTATTGCAGAAACTCAAAATGGTCCTCAGTAGTTTGTATGGCCCCCACGTGCTTGTATGCATACCTGACAACATTGGGGCATGCTCCTAATGAGACGACGGATGGTGTCCTGCGGTATTTCCTCCCAGATCTGGACCAGGGCATCACTGAGCACCTGGACAGTCTGAGGTGCAACCTGGTGGCATTGGATAGACCAAAACATGATATCCCAGAGGTGTTCTATTGGATTTAGGTCAGGTGATCATGGTGCCATTCAATGGTATCAATTCATCCATCCTCCAGGAACTGTAGAGGTCTGTGTGTCCCTCCATGGATATGCCTCCCCAGACCATCACTGACCCACCACCAACACGGTCACGTTGAATAATGTTACAGGCAGCAGAATGTTCTCCATGGCTTCTCCAGACCCTTTCACATCTGTCACATGTGCTCAGGGTGAACCTGCTCTCATCTGTGAAAAGCACAGGGTGCCAGTGGCGGACCTGCCAATTCTGGTGTTCAATGGCAAATGCCAATCCAGCTCTATGGTGACGGACAGTGAGCAAAGGGTCGTGTAAAGGACATTAGGCCCTCAGGCCACCCTCATGAAGTCTGTTTTTGATTGTTTAGTGGGCAGAGACATTCACACCAGTGGCCTGCTGGAAGACATTTTGTAGGGCTCTGGCAGTGCTCATCCTGTTCCTCCTTGCACAATGGAGCAGATACCGGTCCTGCTGATGGGTTAATGACCTTCTACGGCCCTGTCCAGCTCTCCTAGAATAACTGGCCGTCTCCTGGAATCTCCTCCATGCTCTCAAGACTGTGCTGGGAGACACAGCAAACCTTCTGGCAATGGTACGTATCGATGTGCCATCCTGGAGCAGTTGGACTGCCTGTGCAACCTGCTCCAGGCATCACCTCATGCTACCAATAGTGACACTGACCCTAGACAAATGCAAAACAGCCAGAAAAGATGAGTAGAGGAAAAAATGTCGGTGGCCTCCACCTGTCAAACCATTCCTGTTTTGGGGATCATCTCATTGTTGCCAATCTAGTGCACCTGTTAATTTTATTAACACCAAAGCAGATGAAACTGATTAACAACCCCCTCTGCTACTTACCTGACCAAATCAATATCCCAGGAGTTTCACTGACTTGATGCTATGCTGATTGAAAAATGTTCCTTTAATTTTTTGGAGCAGTGTATAGAAGTACAGCATTGTTTTATGTATTTAACACTGCAGGTGTAGTTACAACATTTTTTTTTTCCACTTTTGAGATAGCAGTTTCACATAAATAAAAGCTCATCATTGTAAGCACCCCTGCCAGTGTTAAATTGTTTGTCCCATCCCTGTAAACTGCTAAATCTGCAAGAGAGCTTGTTCTTTTGAAAAACAACAGCCTTGCTTGCTGGATCATCAGATAATAGAGGACATAAATCCTAAAAAAGAAAACTAATGCCGCCATCACATCTAAGAATTGATAAGCTACAATATTAACCTCCCTGGCAGTCTGATTATTTCAGATTTTTGCTGCTGAAAGCGGTACCATTATTTTTTGCATGGAAATTTGGCGTTTTATATTGTAGGCCTGTAATTCTTAGGAATAACTCACTGAAATCTGTCCGAACAAGAGTCTAGTAAACATCCCGGGTATGATAAATTTGAAACACGAAATCATAAATTATAATTTAATAATCATAAAAAATAATATTATAATACATTTAATTCAATAATATAATCAAACCAAAAACACTGAAATTTGAACTATAGGGCCAAGTTCGCACATCACTGAGCAAAGTCGCAAAATCATTTTCAGTGTCTGATGATGAATTTCCCCACCAATCATTATCACTCAATTCTGCAAGTGGTTCTGATCTACTATCGCTGTTCTCTAGCCGGTCTAAAACCGATTTTGACCTAAAGGGACACTTTTTGGATGCTTCTCAGTTTCCAGGCAGAAAGAACAGTAAAAATGCAGGCAGGGCGCCGGACAAAGCACTCGGGACAAAATGTATGTGAAATGGTTTGATACAGTAATGTTTTACTATGTGATTTTAGTGTATTTAGTGAATGTCACTTTTTGTAAATTTCAAATTTCCTGCCGTTCCGTTCCCTGTACATCCCGACATCGCAGGGAACGGAACCCAGATGACAGATGTCGGCATCAGCCGGATTACATTGCCGGGGACACTGCAGGAGGGACATCGCGGGAGCGAAGGACAAGGTAAGTGACCGAGGGATCCCGGAGCAATGCTGCAGGGTATTCCCGAGTGTAGCTCGGGGTTACCGCTTGTGGTACTGAAACTTTACCCCGAGCTACACTCGGGAATACCGCCAGGGGGGCTACGAAATGTTTGCAGTTGGGTTTAATAACACGTTAGAGGGAGGGCCAAACTGCCTACCAGGGGCATCAGGAAAGACTTGAGCTATGAACATTTGGGGTGAAGATTGTACCCTGTGTGGCACACATTACTCAACAGCAGATTCCACTCAATAAAGAAACCAGCCTTTACTTTAGTATTTTTATTCACTTTGATGTTGTAGATAGTGACAGCTTTGCCATACTGGGCTGTTACATTTAGACTTTCTTTTTACATTAAAAAAATATTTACAAACATTTGTAAAAGCTTCAAAATCTGTCAATCGAAAAGAAAGAAAACACAAGAATACAAAACAGGAGTCAAAACGCAAACAAAGCATTCCCGTCTTTAGTTTTGACAGAAGAAATTCAGGGAAAAAGCCAACATGAACAGAATGATTTGCGGCCAATATGGCACCTTTGAAGGTTACATAGAAATCAAGCCGGAATTTTATTGTATGGAAAGGAAAGCGCAGACCCACTGCGCAGAGGAGACACGATTGATAGTATAGTGTATTCTTTTTAGCCCGGCACATAGCAACAATATGAAACATTCAACATTTCAACCACAACTTGGCAATAAAGTCATTTTTCAGTTTGTTTTTTTTTTGTAAAGGTTTCTAGTTGCTCTTGAAGTGAAACTAAACCCAACAACATAACCATATCCAAAAACATTCAAGGCATGCCGCGAATAATAACCATGACAGTTGCTTGTGTTCTAAATCAAACTGTCAAGCCATCAAATGGCTGATGTCATAAGTGATCACATGTGCAGCACTATGGCAACTAATATCAAACAGAGGCTAAGAAGGCAGCTTCCTTGGCTGTACAACATAGGAAGGTTTAGTTCTGCTTTAATTCCTCTATAGTGTATCACTCCTATGACTTGCCTGGTGCAGATGCCACTCAGGAGCTTGTCCTTACCCTGGAACGGTCAACACACCCTGAGAAAAAAAAACAGCCGGCAGCACGCCGTAATGTCCAATGCTTGTAAAACATTAATTCCCAGACAAATGTAAAGAATCTCTGCTTGGGACCTCCTTCTCTGACACATTTCACCCACCAAGCGCTGGACATTACAGCGTGCTGCTGTTTTTCTCAAGAAAGCTTTGTGGTTTTGGAGATTTCTCCTCACTTCCTGCCCTATGGGGACAGCACTAAAAACATGAGAAAAGACCCGACCCTTTTCCGTTTATTGCTGTATGTGATCACTGTCACTGAAAGAGGGAGTGAGGAAATTTCTCCTTAAGGGGACACAGATCTGACAAAAACACAATTTGACACATTTCCCCGTTGTAAAAAAATACTCCACTTTTAAACAGTGCTCCACTGAGAGCGGATCAGGGTAGCTATGAAGGGACAGTGGCAGGGGTGGACTGACCATTTGGAAACTCAGGTACTGCCCAGGGGCCCGGGGGCAGTAGGGGGCCCCATGAGATGTCCCTGGTACCTTTTTCATAGGCTTTTTTGAGTTTGGGGGAAGGACACAGGGGCCCCATGATCCCCTATTGCCCGGGGGCCCCATGAGTTGTCAGTCCGCCCCTGGACAGTGGCTTTTATGGACTTCAAGGGTACCTTGGGGGATACGGCCCAACACCTCTCTGGGAACAGTTTACACTAGGACCAAATGACACATAGCGGAACTAAACCCATCAATTTAACAGTTTCAAAGAACAGCTACATTCCCGGCATGTAGGGAATGAGAACGGTCACATCTGCTTGCGCTCTCAACCAAACCGTCAAACCATCAAATGTCTGGTGTCATAACTGATCACATGTGCTGCACACCATGGCAGATGCAGATCAAACAGAGGCCAAGACAGCAGCTTCCTTAGCTAAAAAAGATAGGTGGGGGGAGTTTAGTTCCGCTTTAAGTCGAACATGAACAGACATTGTGCATTGAACTTGCAGGCTGTTGTCTGCCTCTCATCTTCTCATTCACACTGTACTAGCGGAATGCCTGCTGACTGCCGGTGTCCTCATTTGGTGGGCAGCCCTGTATCTGAGCCTTGTAAACCGCACAGCATCAGTGTGCTCCACAGTTCAAGCACTGCCCTCTCTAAGCTCAATAAGCCAAAACCTCACATGTACACCGAGGCATCCAACGTTAGAGGCTACAGTCCTGATTAGGAACCCCAAGATTTTACTAAACCAGTGCAATGAATGATGTAAATTCTCTCAGTGAGATTGCCCTGTGATAGGTCTGTGCCTCCCCTTCTCCCATAGCAGTATAACAAAGGCGTCGTCATCTTGCTGGTGGATTGCTCAGGTATTTGTTGCTACTAATTTGTAAAGATGCTCTCTCTGTTCAAAGTCCCCCAAGCACATAACCCACCTTTGCAGGGAACTAGGAAGTACTAAAATATTAGTTTTAGGTGGAGTTGGCATCATTAAAATGCAAAATGGGCAGCAGTGATAGGAAGCAGAAACTTGGTGACCCCTTGTCTAACACTCTGCAAGCCTCAGAAACTAAACATTCCTTTTAGATACATTTTCATCAGTATCTATGATTGACAGCTCAAGTCCTGCCCCTGTTTAACCCTACAGGCTGCAGACTATAGTTATGGGCCAATAGGGAAGTGCAGGAAGGGGCGGGCTCTTGACCACAGCACGTGGTTGAGCATAATAGTGCGCTGAGCTTTGGGGTTCCCAAACATTACACAAGTTTAAGACCCCTCCAGTCACATGCTTACCATCGCTGTTGACCATTCGGCACGATGAGTAAGTCTTCACTGGATTTTGTTTGTGTTAAACAGGTTTTGTATTCCAAGTCTATTGGAACGCAAAATTTGTTTGATGCAGGTCAAGTGCATGTCAGAAGAATGTGCCGGTCAAACGCACCTGGTGATTAATTCTGAATGATCTGAAACTGATGTCACTGACACACATCTAAAGCCCATTGAGACAGGCTCTTAGGGTGAGAACCAAGTCACCTAAGAGGAATACATTTCCGACAGCAAAGTTGCATTGTTTTCTAGACAGCATAAGCAGTAGCTGACAGGGAGAGCAATGGGTATGAAAACACTACATTGACCCGCCCCGACCCAACAATCAGCACTCAGTGATGATGCCTTTTAATGGAAACCACTGTACTTGTTTGGGCTGTGCAAGTTAAAACAATCTACATATTATAAAACAAGCATGTCTGCTTTTATTCAGGCTTTTAAACTGCTCGGAATAATACTTCCTCTCAGAGTTCAGATTCCTACCGCAGAAGCTCCATGCTATCTCATCCAGGCTGCCCGGCCTAGACCTGCAACCGGAGGCATCCCTGGTGGTGGAATAGGAGGAGGGACTGGAGGCTGGCCTCCGGGTGGCACAGTAGGAGGTGGATAGCTTGTTGGTGGTAAACCAATTCCTGGCGGTGGGTGATTTGGAACAGTATGAGTTGGGGGAAGTCTAGGCGGGGGGAAGTTGGGGTTGTAAGCAGGAGGAGGTGGGTATCCTGGAGCTGGAGGAGGAATGTTAGGAGGTGGGAATGTAGAAGGTGGTGGGGGTGGAGGTACACTTGGAGGAGGATTAGGTGGAAAAACATGGGGGTGATATGGTAGATGAGTTGGAGGGACATAGGCAGGGGGCAAAGTTCCATAAGTTGGTCCATCTGTCTTCATCATAGATTGGAGGCTCTGGTACCCTTCCCCAGACATATAGGAGCTGGTTGTAGACATACCAGTGATGTAACTAGATGGTGGAGGTGGTGGTCGGTGTGGTATAGGAGGTGGCTGATGAACAGCAGCAGGAAGAGCAGGTGGTGGAATTGTAAGTTTTGTCAAATCAGCAGTTTCTGGAACACTGATGGGATCTCCCTCTGCTGCCACGATTCCAGGCACCAGAGGAGGTTTTCTCTCTAGAGGCCACAAAGAAGAAGAAATTAATACGCAATATGCAAATACTGAAATTGCCTCAACCAGCTGACCACACAGAAAACAGCCAACAGGAAACTTTTTTAAACTTTTTCTTTAGTTTGGGATAGACCAAGGAAGGGGTAAACTTCTAGCAGGTCATTTTTTTTTCTGCCTGTGTACCACTGTGTTAATTTCCTGTAACCAGAGATGCCAACAGAAGATCAGGGGAAACCTCCCTAGCTGAGGAGAATTCTCCTCTTAGTTGTTCCCAGAACAGGTGTCCTTATTAGAAGATTTCCCCCTGCCGCTTTTTCTGGGAACAACTCTAAAGCTTTGGACTTTCCCTTTAGGTCACAAATAGAAAGGAGTGAATCTTCCCAGCAGAGAGACAAAGCAATCAATAAAAATTGACAGAGGGTCTAACCCTTTCTTACTGTAGCAAAAAACAAAAACCTCACAGGTTTTGCCTAGAGATGTACTTTGACTTCATTGCTGTCTATGACGGGCACTGTGTGTGTTTCTCATTTTGGCAACTGCTTTTCATTATTTAAATTTTTGCAAGTAGTCTTGCTGCATGTTTACACACAATTAATGTTTTTTTTTTTAATTTAAATTCAAAGCGCAGATTTAAAGACCTTTTGGCTAGACAAATGTCATGTGTTATAGCAACTGTACAATATTTGTAAACATAGCCCTGAGAAATACTGCTGTGTGACTGTTAGGTGAGGAACGCATATTTAGATTACAGTACAGTGTTTGGTGCAACACGTGTGTGTTTGTGCGTTGTGGTGCTATTCATTTTTAAAGTAGGATCAAAGAGAAAAACTTTGGATAGTGTAAGGGAAGGTTATAAGATTTACCTTCACCTTTCCCATAGCCATAAACAGGAAGTGAGAGGAAATGACTGTAAATTAAAGGTCCCCCAGGTCACCAGAATTAGAGTACCCATTGGAAGATTTCACAATATTACTTTTCTTGGGACAACCCAAAATTTGTGATTTTCTTTTACTTTCAATAATAAATGGTAAACAGGACAAATGGGGTGAATCTCCCTAACAGGGGCACACACAACAATTAAAAAAAACAGATGTTCTACTCTATTTTCCATTCAAAGCTAAAAAAAAAAAAAGTTTTGCCTTTAGTTACACTTTCAGGGCATTCCAACGCACTATGGGAATGAACCTGTGTTGCAACATACCACCCTCGGTGGCGTTAGTTAAATAGGGTCAGCTATTTTTTTTTTTCGCTGGGATGCACTGGCAGATCTGGTACACCCAATACATCAGCATTCAGACTAGAAGAGGGAAGGGCTGGAAGACCAATCTGGGATGCCACATTCAAACATGTTGACAAGTAACGTGCTGACTGGAGGACAGAGCAGAGGGATGACTTCATCAGTCCACTGCTGCTCTTTCAAGGTCCAGTCTGCATTACCCTTTATTGTACCAGGGACTGTGTAAATTTATTCAACTCCTTTATATGTAATGCTTCTGAATTTGGAGTTTGGGTGTTTGCATTGAGGGTATTGTAAACAATTGTGCACTTCCAACCTTGTGGTAACAAGTCTGGGGAAGGTCCTTTTCTGTTCCAGAATGACTGTGCCCTGTCAACAAAGTCAGCTCCATGTAGACAAGGAGTTGATGAGGAGAAAAACCTGCACAGAGCTCTAAACTCAACCCTCAGGACTTCATTTCAAACATCAATAGCTGACCTTAAACATTCTATTCTGGCTGAATCGGCACAGATTTCCACAAACACTCTCCAAAATCTTGTGGAAGATCTTTGTAGAGGAGTGAATGCGGCTACTGCCACAAAAGTGGCTGGCATTTCCATATCAATGCATAGGGCTTTGGAATGGGTTTTTCAACAAGCTCATATAGTTGTGATGGCCAAGTATTCTCAAAGTGGCAAATACACAAGAAAAGGACAGCCTGTGGAGGTATTCTGTACTATAATAACTAGATCAATACAGGCAGAGATACAGCAGAGCGGGATTAATATCAGTCATCTTGTTTTTGCCATACATTGTTGGGGAACATCACGTCCTGTTACTGAGACACAACAGAAAGTGAGAGAAAATCCCTCCAAAGTGAAAATCCCTCTTTCAGTGTTGCATTGTAGTATATCATTTATTTTAAAGTGACACTAAACTCTGGTTTAAAAAGAAAAAAAATCTATTCAAGTTTGCATTTGTCCAGCCTGGACCAGTATATGTATATACCATACCTGGTTAATACCTCTGGAAATCACTGTATAGAGACCACTACTGCAGTGATCTCCACTTACTTCCGGGTCCCATGCTGAGCGAATGCTGTGCTGCATTCTGAGTTTGGTCACTTGGGTGCTTTATTTTGATGTGCTTACTCTATTGCTACCTATGCATTTTAAGATTTCCCCCATTATCTTCAACTTCTGTGATAACAGTAGAAATATTGTATTTGCAATCACTCCAGTCCCAGTGGCAATGGTCATCAGGACAGACAGAGTATTTAGCTCTTCAGCAGGTGCAGACAGCAATAAAGACCTAAAAGTTGTTCTAACCCTTCCATACCCTAACCAAACTGAAATAAAGATTTTGGATAGAGATACACAAAATTTCCCTATAGAGACCTGTAGTTTCTGATTAGCTGTTGGGCTGCTGCTTTGAAGTCAATGTCAACAAAAAAGGGACGAGACCCACAAATTTACCATAAAAATTGACTCACCTGATGGTGTAAGGACAGGTGGTAACGGTGGGAGAGAAGGCTCAATTTTAGACATTTTACTTAATGGTTGCTCTGCAAAAGACAAAGACATGAAGTGAACCCTCATAGGCAAAGATAACTGTTATAATAGTGATACAACAAAAGACAATAATACAACATTCAACTTGTACTGATAATGTATCAACACAACACCGCCATGCCAAAGTAAGCTTTAATAAAGTTTGATAGCTAGACAAGAATCTCTAGCTCACATATTTGAGATTGTCTGTATGAATCATTTGTTGGCGTGGTGGGTTTGTAAAAGCAGAACGTCAGCCAAATTATTATTATCGTTTCTCATTCTTTGTTGCACAGGATGGAGAATAACTAGGATCTTTATCCGTTTTCTGGGGCCATTACCCTATTGGGGAGATTTCTGCACTATTTTCAAGCCCCCCACAGGAAGTGATGGCAAAGCACAAAGACACAGACAGCAATAAAAACTTGACAGAAGTTCTGCTCCTTTCCCACTTTGCTCATAAGCATGCTTTTGCCATCTGTACAGACTGGAGCTCTACCTTAATTATGTGGTTGACGCTAGAGAAAGGAATAAATACACAATGAATACATACCCTGTGTTTTTCCTTCTTCTTTGGGTGATGTGGGCTGAAAGAGCAACAAAACAAATTAATAGATATAAATGGTTAGAGAGCTTTAAAGACCAACAAAAGTGTTAGTTTAACACCTCCCCGTCTGTCCCAGCATCCGTTAGAACAGTTATGAATGCCCCAGGGTGCAGAAGGATCGGTGATCACATGACCAGTCCAGCTAGACCAGTGTTTCTCAATTCCAGTCCTCATGGACCCCCAACAGGTCATATTTTCAGGATTTCCATTATTTTGCACAGGTGATTTGATCAGTTTCACTGCCTTAGTAATTACCACAGCCGTTTCATCTGAGGGAAATCCTGAAAACATGACCTGTTGGGGGTCCATGAGGACTGGAGTTGAGAAACATTGAGCTAGACCAAGATCTGTCTTTGACCGCCAAGTGTTTGTTTTGGGAGCATGCTCTCAGCACATAAACATTGGCTGCCCGACAACGCATATGTGCAGAGTGTGTTAAAACCCACCTTCAGCTGCCACACAAATGTGTTTGGCGGTCATAAATGGGTTAATCAGGCAAAAACATTCCAAGCGCATCAAACCAAAAAGTAGTCTTCAATGGCCTGAGCAGAAAGGGCTGTAACGTGCCAGCATGCTGTAGAGAAGGACCCTTGTAGCTGCTGCAAATAGTTGCTGACAGACCCCTCACTAGTCCTGTCAAAATACTGTTTAATTTACATCTGCTGTTTTGTCCATGATGCATCATTCTCCATTTTAAAGCCCTGATAAAGGTGGAGTTTTTCTCGCCTCCAAAATGTGTTTGCTCTCTTTTACTGCAAACTAAAATCAGGGCCAAAAGGTAGCCCTGTCTGTTGCAAGCAGCCTAACCTTAGCCAGTGAATCCTCAATGTTTTTTTTTTTTTTCTTTCCACCAACTTATATGAACTGAGATTAAAGTCCCAGCACCTCTTCAGTGCGTTTTTCTTAGTTGGAATTGCAGGTCATGCTTATGAAAAGACTGAAAAAAAAACAGACAGGAAAATACATCTGTAAAAGGCTCATCCAGACATGTGCTAGCAGCCTTGTCTATGAACCTGGTATAAAACCATCTGCGTGGATGCCAGATCGCCAAATCAGATGCCACCTTCCTTTAATTTATACATCCCCTGGCAAAACGTATGGAATCACCACTCCTGGAAAATGCTCAATTGTTTAATTGTGTAGAAAAAAAACAAATCATAGATATTCCTCCAAACTATTTTCATTTAACATTCCAACTTTCTGGCTTTAAGAAACATTTTACAAAAAAAAAAACAAAAAAGAAAGAAAACTAGTAAGTTGCAACTGTTTTTGCAGATGAAGCAGAGGAAAAAATATGGAATCACCCAATTCTGAGGAAAATATTATGGAATCATGAAAAACACACTACTGTAAACCACTATTACTTTGTTGCACCACTTCTGGCTTTTAAAACAGCTTGAATTCTCTGAGGCATGGATTTAACTATCGACAAACAGTATTCTTCATCTATCAGTCTCCAACTTTCTCTTATGGCAGTCGTCAGATCAGCTTTTCAGGTTGGAGTCTTGTCACGGACCATTTTCTTTGGATTGAGGTCCGGAATATTTGCAGGCCATGCCATTGACATTCTATGGTTTTCTTAAAGGAAAGTTTTCACGGCTTTTGCCCTATGACAAGATGCATCATCATCCTGAGAAAATAATGTCATTCCCAAACATTCTTTCAATTGATGAAATAAGAAAAGTGTCCAAATTCTCAATATAAAACTTGTGATTTTATTGAAGATTGAATGACTGTCAACTCCCCCATACCTTTACCTGACATGCAACCCCATATCATCAATGATTGTTGAAATTTGCATGTTTTCTTCAGGCAGTCATCTTTATACATTTCACTGAAACGGAACCAAACAACTTGCCCAATGCAGATTCGTGATTCAACACTGAATATCACTTTCACCCAGTCATCCACAGTCCATGATTGCCTTTCTTTAGCCCACTGTAACCTTGTTTTTTTCTGTTTAGGTGTTAATAATGGTTTTTGTTTGGCTTTTCTGTATGTAAATCCCATTTCCTTTAGGCGATGTCTTGCAGTTCGGTCACAGATATTGACTCCAGTTTCTTCCCATTTGTTCCTCATGTTTCATTGTGCATTTTCGGTTTTGAAGGCATATTACCTTAAGTTTTCTATCTTGATGCTTTATTTCAATTATTTATTAATTTATTTATTTCAGGTTCTTATATAGCGCTGTCAATTTACACCGCACTTTACATATATATTGTACATTCACATCAGTCCCTAACCGTCAAGGAGAGTACAATCTAAGGTCCCTAACCCTCAAGGAGAGTACAATCTAAGGTCCCTAACTCACATTCATACATACACATACTAGGGACAATTTAGACAGGAGCCAATTCACCTACCAGCATGTCTTTGGAGTTGGGAGGAAACCGGAGTTCCCCGAGGAAACCCACGCAGGCACAGGGAGAACATGCAAACTCCAGGCAGATGGTGCTGTGGTTGGGATTGGGGTTGGGATGCTTTGAGGTCTTCCTTGGTCTACCAGTACGCTTTCCTTTTACAACCTTCCCATTTGATTTGTACTTGGTCCACATTTTAGACACAGCTGACTGGGAACAACCAACATCGTTTGCAACATTTTGTGATGATTTACCTTTTTGAAGGAGTTTTATAATCCTCTTTGTTTCAATTGCCATCTCTCGTGTTGGAGGCATGATTCATGTCAATCAGCTCGGTGCAACAGCTCACCAAGGTGTGTAAGCACTCTTTTTTAAATGCAGACTAATCAGCAGATGTAATCTGATGCAGATGTTTGTTTTAGAACTGCAAAGTACATGGTGATTCCATCATATTTTCCTCAGAATTGAGTGATTCCACATTTTTTTATCCTCTGCTTGATCTGCAAAAACACTTGCAATTGACTAGTTTTCTGTTTTCTTTTTAAGTGCTTCTTAAAGACAGAAGGTTGGAATGTTAAATGAAAATAGTTTTGGAGGCACATCTGTGATTGTTTTTTTTCCTACACAATTAAACAATTGAATGAACATTTTCCAAGGGTGTTGATTCCATACTTTTTGCCAGGGGTTGTACTAGAAATTGGTTTCTAGAGGTAACATGTACCCCTTTCTTCCCTACATTTAAAAAAAAAAACAGTCACAATGGGTCACAAAAAAGTATATGTAAAGCCACAACATTTTTTCAATTTTAGATAGAATAGGGAAAATTTAAGATCCATATCAGGCTATTTTCCCCCAGTCTCTGTCCCACTGGGGAGATTTCCCTTCACTACTTGTTCTGGAAATGAAATAGGAAATTAGAGAAAACCTCTCTAAATTGAACATTACATCTGCAGGAGTAGGCAACATGCGGCTCTCCAGCTGTTGCAGGACTACAAGTTCCATCATGCCTCTGCAAGTCATAGCTGTAACTGTCAGTTTTGTAATGTTGCAGTGTCTCATGGGAAATGTAGTTCCACAACAGCTAGAGCCGCAGGTTGCCTACCCCTGTCTTAGAGAGTGGTCACAGGAACATTTGTCCCCACTGGAGTATTTCCCTCACCTTTTGTTCTGGTGACAACTCAAAGTTTATATATTTCCAATCACTTCCGCAGTTTGCTTTGTTAACAAAGGGCACTGGGACAAATGGAGGGAGAATCTCACACAAAGAGCAATAAAAACTTGTCGAAAGAGCTAATCCATCACCCTATCCAAAAAAAAAACAAATTTACTTTTACATACACTTAATGTGTTACTAAGCCCGCAACAGTACAATCAGTCTGTATATGCAGTAAAGCATGTTTGTTATACTCACTGTGGAACCTAAGAGGTTAATCCTCTGCATTGTGTAAAAAGGAAGTTTAATCCTGTCTTCTCTGATCCTCCCCCTCTTCCACTGTCTCCCGATAGAACAGAGCATTGGGGGCAAGCTGCACATACCCAGTTTGGTGTGTATTGCTAGAGAGCTTTTATGCATGTGATCAGCATAGGGCTAATCAGCATTGTCCAGACAGAGGGTCAGGGATCCTGCAGCCTGATAGGACAGCGAGAAGAGAATGAAAACTCCTCCTACAAGCTTTAACCAGTGCTCTGCTGGACACTGAAAGAAGTCACAAGACTGTTCTAACTGCTGATGAGAGAAGGTATTTAGCAATTTATAGTTACTAAAATAATTGCATTTCCATGTTCTGTGTACTGTGGGAGACTAGAAACAGTGAATGTAGGTTTAGTAACACTTTATATCTAGTTGCTTCAAGCAACCTTTTATCCTCCTATATTGCAATGAAAGGAAATGGAGATCTGCTAACAATGATGCAAACAGTTTCATTAAGTTTCTGCACAAGAGGCCCACGCTCTACACAGTACATACCAGAGGCCGTTTGGTCTGTTTCGGTGGGGCTGGACTGCGGAGATGGTTTCTTAGCTTGCTGTGCTGTCGTTTGTTGCTGCTGCGCGGGTCCTTTGCCTGAGCTGCTTGAGAGTCGGAGTTCTGTGACGTGAGCTGAGGCTGTACAGCTGCAATCTGTGCCTGTACCTGGGGTGAAGGCTGCGGGGCTCCATGGTGCGGCATCTGCTGTTTTCCTTGAGAGTATAAATCTAGGATCTGGTGACAGATGTCTGAAAAAACAGAGGGAATTTGACCAATCATTCTATTTATTTATTTTTTAAAAACATACAACTGTTACACAAGCCAGTTTGTCATTAACCATTATCAGGAGGTTGTTCTCTGATTGGGTGAATTGGGCAGGGGTTGGGGAGTTACATCACAGTCTCCACCTCATCTAATCAGAGATTGCCTTAGATTCATTGAAAAAATAATTAAAATAAAAAAAACAAGGCATTCTCTGAATGGTGGTGCTGTGTGGCTGCTCCCCTGGGTTCTAGTGTGCAGAGGAGAAACCAATGAAACAGCACCTGGGGAGATCACGGCTATCACTGTTTGTAGACTGGACTACTAAAGTGATTTTCAGCATCCTCAGGGATTCTCTGGATATCAGATATAGATACTTATATCAAGCCAAGCTGGGCCAATTTAAGTATGGGAAAAATGCATGGAGTTCCACTTTAATCTTGAAAACTCTGAAAACAATTGTGATTGTCATGTAGTGGTTGAGTACAAAACTTCAGTAAGCTTGTGATTTACTGCTCTTCTGATTGGTTGGCGTCCAGCAATTTGATCACGAGATTTAAGCAGCTAGACTTTCCCAGTCAGCAATGAGAAGGAATTGAATGGAATCCACGTGACAGTATCAAATGAAACAACTGCTCCTTTTCTTAGCATTTAATTACATTACATGACCAATAAAGAAGTGAAGGTATGGGGTTCAGATAATCAAAAATGGCTGATTGAATTGTGAAGGTTAGTGACAGGCTTTTCTTTAAAATGACCGTTATCACTTGTAGTGGACCTTTGATGTAAAATGAACTATTTATCTGTGATGCGCCCCCCCTCCTGCAAAATAGAAAGGTCCGCTTAAAATATTTTAATTAGATGAAATGGTCATGTAAAATAACAATAACATGCATGCACTAATCTTGAAGTGTGTAGTCCTCTGCCATCAAGTACACAAAATACCTTCTAGAACATCGACTGGCACATCTTGGACAAACTGCTCCCACCACCTCCTATACATTGGCTTTGACGTCCACTCCTGTATCTCAAATTTACACAATCTTCCAGCAAGATACATGACTGCTACAGCAATGATCTCCGGCTCCCATTGCAAGGACAGCGTAGTGCACAGGCTAAAATTAAAAACAAAAAAAAGGGAAGGGAGGCGTCATAATGAATGTAAAGAACGAATGAAGTCATGATGTATGATGGGGGGGTGGGATGAGAATCTTGAAAACCCTAACACCATCCCTACCTGTCATTAACAAACGTCCATGCCATCTGCACCAACTTCTGGATTTTGTTCTTGTCTCCTGAAAAAAAAAGCAATACGTCAGCTACACCTTGTGTTACATATTCTTAAGGCAGGATGTGTGGGATAGAATAAAGGCAACATTACCTTTCAGCTGTTTGGCATACTTTAGGAGAAACTGATAGGGATGTTCCACCTGTAAGTCAAACTTGATGGTTTGTAGAAGGATCCTTTCTAGAACCATCACTTCTTCCTAGGGACAAAATAAAAAAAAAAAAAAAACCCACTATATATACATCAGAAAAACACCACAACTAAGATAACGTTGGCCATATATGCTTAAACTGTTTTAACAATTCTGCTTGCAATGAAAGGGAGAACCATTAGTGCTAATCTTGGAGGCCCCACCATCCAGCCCAGATCCTTTTCTTTTGCTGCTCTCGGGAGATTCGCTCCCCCTTTCTGCAGAGGGTGAAGGCTTGGAGGAACCTCAGTCATGGCAACCAGAGGCCCTCCGTGATGAGGAGCTGCTGATCCGCTTTAAGTCTCTACTGCAGACCGAGCTCTCGGCAGCCTCAACTAGATTAAAAGCACAACTCACTCCGGCCCACTCCCCACTGAAGCTTTCGGATCGGGCATGGGAAAAAGCCAAGGGCCGTAAGAGTTCTCGCACCCCGTCCATGACCAGCTCTGGCAGATCCGACCCAGGTTGAGTTCCCGAACCGCGAGAACAGATTTCCTTTAGAACCTCATTGGCTCATCCTGATCAAAATCACTGGTCGGTAAATCTTACCAGGATGCTGGATTGTATTTGGGTCTTCTGAACCTGGGAGTCTCCCAGTTGAGCAATCTCCCTGAGATTACGCCTCCTCCTGTGAATAGAGGACATCTTCACTATCACCGGCCCCCCATATCCGGTGTTACATTGATGCCGGAACTCCAGGCAAGCCTTTTGCAGTTTTATTCATGAAGACATGTTTTTATAATTTTGTTACCAGTTTTTATATCCTTGATATAGCTGTTTATAGAAGGCATAAATACTTGTGTCCCTCTTCCTCTCCCCCCCCCCCCCCCCCCCCCAACCCTTTTTCCCTACTGTTTTCCTCCCATTACCCTTCCCTGACCCTGCCTTCCCTTACCCCCTTTTTTTCCCCTATCCCCCCTCTTCCTACTCGGCCCATTTATCCACACCTCCCCCCCCTCCCCATTCCCCTTTCTTAATCTACCCTTCTTTTCACTCCTCTCCCCCGCTTTTTCCCCATTAGCCCAACTGTCAAGCCTCAACTCATACACAGCCCACGAAATGGCTCCCTGTACAAATTTACAACTGGGGTCCTGTGCCTCAGCTCCCCCACTCCGTTTGGGGGTGCGGGTACAGGATGTCCAATTGGGCCGCTGGAATTGCCTGGTCCACAATAATTTTATGCCAAAACAGTTGGGTTTATTTAAAGGCTGCTTCATGGCTGTTGCCAATGTATATCCTATGCTGGTCGATGCAGATCAGTGAGGATCTGGAGGAAATCTGTTCTCGCGGCCGGGAACTGGACCTGGGTCAGATCTGGCAGAGCTAGTCATGGATGGGTGCTAGGCAGAGGATGCTTATGGCCCTTGGCTTTTTCCCTTGCCCGATCCGAAAGCTTCGATGGGGAGCAGGCGGGAGTGAGTTGTTCCGCCAATCTAGTTGTGGCTGTGAGAGCTCGTTCTGCAGTAGAGACTTAAAGCAGATCAGCAGTTCTGCATCATGGAGGGCCTCTGGTTGCGATGACTGAGGTTCCTCCAAGCCTTCACCAGCAGCAGAAAGGGGAATGAGTCTCCCGAGAGCTGCAAAAGGAAAGGATCTGGGCTGGATGGCGGGGCCTCCAAGATGGCGTCCGGAGTGAGAGGCCTGTCCGTGTTCTGGTCCGGTTTTTGGGAGATGGAGGCTCTGCAGTGGGCTGATTTCTTTCCCACTGATGTATTTATATTTTAATAATTAAATGGGTGGAGCAGATTAAGACCCCTCAATAGGGTGTAGCCCTTCTTCCTTGCGCTAATTCAGGCTTTTACCCTATGACCTGGGCATAGAGCCCTTACTTGATTCCTTTGGAAACCCCCCAGGTTGTCATTTTTGTTTTTATATATATTTACAGTATCAGCAATGACCGCCATGTGTCTGGCGGCAGAGTTCCTCACACCTAACATCCCATATGGTTGGATGTACTCCACTCTTCGAGTGGCATTTGTTTTCACACTAATTCTATACCACTATCTTTTTTGGCTTTTCTACCTTCTCTTCCTTTCCCTTTCCTTCTTTTCTCAGGTTTGTTGCTCCTGCAGGTCTGGCCCCCTTCCACCAGGGCAGACCCATTCCCACGGGATCATATGAGTCACTGGAGGGATTGTAGGGTAACTTCCTCCACCCATTCTTACTATGGCTAATACCCTTTTAAAGATCTACTCCCATAATATCCAAGGTTTTAATTCCCCCGTTAAATGGGCAAAGATTTTTCACCATCTTAAAACTAGCCATATTGATATAGTATGTTTACAAGAGTCTAGGTTCTCCACTGCCTCTGCTCCCAGGTTCCTCTCCTCACACTTTCCCACCTTTTTTCTGGCCTCGGCCCCGGAGAAACACAGAGGAGTTCTGATTGCTTTTCATCGGGGCCTTTTATTTTCCTGTACTAAGGAAATTACAGACCTGACCGGTAGGTACTTGCTTCCTCAGGGCTCCCTTAATGGACAGGAGGTAACTCTGGTATTCTATTATGCTCCCAACCGCTTTCAGACTAAATTTTTCTCTCATCTTTTCCAAATGGTGGCGCAGCATGCCAGAGGAACACTTCTCCTTATGGGAGACTCCAACGTAGCTTTAGATTCCTCCATGGACCAACAATATGCTCCGGGGACGAAACCCTTACATGATCCGGGCCTAGAAACCAAAATGCGTGCTCTCCTCTGCTCTCATGGCTTACTAGATGTTTGGAAAGAACTTCACCCTCGGGGTCGAGAATACACCTTTTACTCACACTTTCATAAAAGCCATTGCAAGATCGACCATGTCTTTATTCCTTTACAATATGAGTAGACTTGCTATCCCAGCCTCTCCCTGGTCTGATCACGACCCTCTGATCCTTTCTTTTTCTGTCTCGGGCCTCACCCGCCCACCTTTCCATTGGAGACTCAATGATTTCCTCCTGACATCCCAAGACACACAGACTGAAATCCAACACTGATAACAAAACCTATTTTACTAATGTCGGCTCTGTCCCATCAGTGATTACGTTATGGGAAGCCCACAAAGTAACCCTTAGGGGACACATAATCCAGATTGCCTCGGCTAAAAAAACGCGCCAAAGAACACAAACTTCGGGATCTAACGACGAAGCTGATGCCTTACGGAAATCTCACCCCTCAATACGCAATCAACAGAAACGGGACTCTGGCGGCGGATTTAGATCTTCTGGCCACTGACCAAGCAGAGAAAGCCCTGAGATGGACCAAACACAAGTACTTCACTTATGCAAATAAACCTGGCTCTATGTTGGCTAATAAATTGAATGGTCGTCGCCTCTGCCTCTACAAACCACTTTGAATACTTACACCCTCGGGAAAACCAACCTCTGACTCTACAAAAGTAGTGGCCTCCTTTGCCAAATTCCTGTCTTCCCTATATAATAAACCATCCCCCTTCCCCACGGCTCTTGCAGACCAATTTTTTCAAGATCTTCATCTCCCGGCTCTAGAAGCAGCCAGAGAATCGCTGCAGGCAGACATTATGGAACAAGAAGTTCTTCAGGCTATCAAGACTATTCGCACCTGGCACAGACGGCTTCTCTGGTCTGTAATTTCGCAAATTTGCGTCAATTCTGGCACCTCATCTAGTGGCACATATCAATAAATTGAAAAGGGGTTCTTTGCCCTCTTCGGATTCCCTCAGAGCCCATATCACTACGATACCCAAATCTTCAGAAGATGCCTCGGACCCCCGGGACTTTCGACCTCATTGCTGAATGAGGATGTGAAGCTTCTAGAGAAAATTCTTAGCTCCCGTATTAACAGGTACCTCCGTAAGCTGATTCATAGGGACCAGGTGGGTTTCATTCCAGGCTGGCAGGCAGCCTTTATTTATTTTATTTTTAATTCTCCAGTCCCTGTCCCATCTTTCTTTTTACACCTTCTACAAAACAGGATTCTGTCCTTCATCTGGGCCTACAAATGCCCTAGGGTTTCACGCTCTACACAGCATACCCAGACTCAGAGGAGGGCTGGGAGTTCCAAATATTGCAAAATATTATAAAGCAGCCGCAGATAGCACAGGTCACCTTACTTCATGTTACTACAGATATCTCCCTTATGGGTATTCTTAGAATCTCCATAATTGTGCCCCTTTCTCAGTCGTACTGCTGTGGCTCCTCATAATTCCTCACTAAGCCCTCTAATGCTCCACAATCTGAAAGTTTGGGACTCAGTTTGTTTCACTGGCCACCTTAAGTCCCACATTTACCTCTTTTTTACTGCTATTTAACAATCCCCTCTTCCCTCCAGGCTTCGAACAGCCGACATCCATTTAATGGTGGGTAACGCACGGCTTCACACAGGTCCAACATTTTCTTTCCTCACAAACGTTTCCCTCTTGGTCCTCTATTCAGGAAACTTACCAGGCTCCGATGTCTGAGTTCTACTACTACACGTCCAGCTACGCCACAGCATATCTTCCCTAAGACGAAATTCTACGTTCCCATATCCGTCCATGGTCTTTGAACACTTATGTCAGACTTCTCCGGGTGCCTCTAGCACTATCACCCTTATATACTCCTCACTGAATTCTGTAGCTTCTTCATCTCTTTCTTACATATCTAGCTGGGAGAGGGACCTGGGAGCTTCTGTGGAACCAGAGGACTGGATTAAAGCATGGTCAATTATTTCCTGTTGCTCGTTCAACACGTCCACAGTGGAGGCTGCCTACAAAGTCCTTCTGCGGTGGTACTGGGTCTCCGCCCGCATCGCAAGTGCAAATCCCGATTTTGCTGACAGGTGTTTTTGCACCTGTGGACAACAGGGCAAAATGGTTCACTAGTGGTCTTGTCCACGTCTCAAGGGGTTTTTGCCCAGAGTAATTGGCCTTTTATACTCCATCTTCCATATTCCCATTCCAAAAGATCCAAAACTAGCCCTGTTACACTGTCCCATTATTGGATTATTTGCACACCAACAAAAATTAGCCACCTACCTATTTATAGCCGCTAAACGGGTCATAGCCAAGGCATGGAAGAAACCCTCAGTCCCTTTCCACAAGGTCAAGACTACCCTGACCACTCTGATGTTACATGAAAAGATGGCCAGCATTTTACATGACTCACATAATAAATTTTTGAAAGTATGGCGCCTTTAGTAGACCTACAGCTTCCCTACCCTATCCCCAATGGGTTTGGGTACTGCTTAAATCTTGATTGGGACCCAGGCCTGCAGGAACCTTCACCTTCCTTTTCTCTTCACACTTTTTGCTCTGATCCTTTTCCACTTTCTTCTTTTCTGTTTCTCTCTATTCCGTTTTTTTTTCCTTCCAAGTGAAACGATTGATTGATAATTCTAACACTCACCATTTGTCCTCTCAGGACCTGTTGCTGGGACATTGAAGCCGTAATGTGGCCTTGGTCGCATGACCGCATTGTGAATATCTATAATGAATCAAAAGTGTTATAGCCATCGCCTGTTAAGATATATGTTAACCTATTGGTTTGAAACACCTGTGCGGGCGAACAGTTGTATTGTATTGTTATGCATTTCAATAAAAATATTGACACAGAAAAAAAAAATTATAAAAATTTTGTTTTGGGTACAGTGTTGCATGACCGCAGAATTGTCAAAGTGCAACAGTGTTGAAAGCTGAAAATTGGTCTGGGCAGGAAGAAGGTAAAAGTGCCCAGTAGAGAAGTGGCTAAAAGCACATTTTTGTTTTTTACCTGCCAAAAAATTTACTTTTTTTGCCTTAAAGTTAACTCATTCTTTAAAGTCTGTGCTTCTGCCAATGTAAACCTTACATCAGTGACAGCAAAAGCCCAACTCCTGGTGTTACAGATAACAGTTCAGGTGTTGTATCTTCTCTTACTACCTCTGTTTTGCCATTTACAAAGCACAGCCTGCGATGTCTTCGCAAGGTGTGGAGGGTAAGGAGAAGCTAGTATCACACATTTCCTGAAGTGAAATCAACAAATAAAGGCACATTCCATTTAAAAGGTTTAATAGGGACAGCAGAACAAAGATAAAAAAGTAGGTGCCTAGAACTGGGCTTTAAAACTCCCACTGATTCAGAAAGGTCATGGTCACAACAAAATATTACATTCAAGGATCTTACCTTTGGATCATCCCCAAACTGTCCAAACTGCACATCATTTAACAAGCTTCGAGCGGTCTTTATTATATCTTTACATTTCTTTGGTGTTTCTTCCACCTTACCAGCCAGGAACAGACAGCAGGCACCGGTTACCTAGATGACATAAGAAAATGGGACACTCTAGATTAGAAAGACACTGGCAACAATAATAAAGAAAAATAACACTACATTGCACAAACTTTTCTAACAAACTTACATATCTTGCAAATTGTTTAAAGGAATGAAACATATAGAATCGATGAAAATATATAATTCCAGTAGCTAGAGTGTCATAATGTCTGAAGAACACGTTAAGGAAATGAATGCCTTAAATTGTTATTGCGTACCTTACTGTACTAAAATATACTATAAAGTCTTCAGCACTGTACATAGTAATGCCTAGTACACACGATCAGAAAATAGGATGACAAAAATCGCTTTCGGAGGGATCATACGATAATCTGATTGTTAGTACACAGCTATCGACAGCCAATCAGCTTCGAACAGTTCATGTGACAATATCCGAAGGGACAAGCATGAACATTTTTCTCGTATGATAACAGAGCGAACTATTTTTGTTTAATCAGTACAGTATTCGTCCAAAAAAAATAAAATTGAGTAACCAAGGCCATGCATGTTTGGAAACGAAAGAATACATTAAAATGCATGACATCACTTCTGAAGTTGTATTTTGGTGTACGAGAATTTTCATGTTAGTAACCTATTCATTTTTGATACGAGAATAGCATGCAAAAAAAAAACCGAACGATTGTTCATCCGATATTCTCATCATGTATACGAGCAATAAGTGCTACAACTTGGGTGGAAAAAAATGAACATGTATACAAGGACACTAAAAGTGAATGCACTAAGTGATCAAAGTATGTAATATATAGAACAATGCTCTTCTTGCCATGTGCACAGCGTGAGCATTGTTTTGCTTAAAACTGTACAGTTACTTATTTTTATACACAATGAATTTTTAGAGTAAACAAATGTTCATTACAGGGGTATCTCATCCTTATTCTTGAATATATATCAGTGGAAATATGGGAGCCTGTTGATGTGATTAGCCAGCTGGATTTTTAAAGATCTGCAAAAAGGGAAGGGTGGACAGTGTCTGCAAGTAATGCAATGAATGCATGCCAGAACCAGAACCCTGTCGTCCAGGCTCAAAATGTAGAAAGTCCAAAAGGGGGCTGCAGGATATAAGAAATTTATATTAAAAAAACAAAATTACAACATATTGGCATCAGACTCAGGAAATGGGCCCTTCATCAGGCCAAAAAGACAGATCCATAATTGCAAATCAAGACTCCAACATATACTAGTGAAACCAGTAATAAGCTTCAATCTATTACCTCATTAAAGTGGTTGTAAAGGATGAGGGTTTTTTTACCTTCATGCATTCTATGCATGAAGGTAAAAAACCTTCTGTGTGCAGCTCCCCCTCGATCTAGCGATATGCACAGGTGCCTCAGCTGTCCCAGGTCTCTCTCCCCTCACTGGCTGAGACACAACCGCAGGAGCCATTGGATTCTATTGCTGTTAATCACAGCCAATGAGCAGAGAGCAGGGGGGGTGGCACCGAGACGAGGCTCTATGTGTCCTATGGATGCATAGAGCAGGGCTCGGGAGTGAGCACGCACCAATGCCCCCATAGCAAGCAGCTTGCTATTGGGGACACAGGTCAAGAGGGAGGAGCCAGGAGCTCCGGCGGGTAAACCCAAGGAGGAGGATCGGGGCTGCTCTGCACAGAGCAGATGTAACAAAGTATCACAAAGTAAGGAGAAAAGACATGTAGTTACTGCAATTCTGCCACGATTAGAGCCCATTCACACGTATGCGGTTTGTCCTGCATATCGGTACCATGTGAATGACTCAAATAGGATGAAGATGCTAACCCCTGAAAGATGTTCCAAATAGTTGTGCACTGAAATAAAAATTCTGGTGCTGAAACAAACTTTAGGATGCACAAGGCTGAAAAACAAAAGTATATAATTGAATGTATTATATTCAACTTTTTTATTAATATCATGAATTTAAATGAATATAAATTTAAAAACTACAATACAATATTTTTGTTAAAAAAATTTATGTTTACATAATTTTTTTACATCCATTTAACCACTTAAGTCTCTGAGACTTTTTTTTTATTTTTTTACATTTTTGGTTTACATGACTAAAAAATACACTGCTCAAAAAAATTAAAGGAACACTTTTAAAACACATCAGATCTCAATGGGCAAAAATCCCATGCTTGATATCTATACTGATAGAGACGGGGTAATGTGTTAGGAACATACCGATGCACCATCGTTTGATAGAAATGAAAATTATCACACTACAGAGGACTGAATTCAAAGACACCCCAAAAATCAAAGTGAAAAAATGCTGCAGCAGGCGAGTCCAAAACGGTACTCAGTAATGTGTATGGCCCCCACGTGCTTGTATGCATGCCTGACCATGTCGGGGCATGCTCCTAATGAGATGAAAGATGGTGTTCTGGGGTATTTCCTCCCAGATCTGGACCAGAGCATCACTGAGCACCTAGACAGTCTGAGGTGCAAACTGGCAGCGTCGGATGGACCGAAACATGATATCCCAGAGGTGTTCTATTGGATTTAGGTCAGGCGAGCGTGGGGGCCCATTCAATGGTATCAATTCCTTCATCCTCTAGAAACTGCCTGCATACTCTCTCTACATGAGGCCGGTCATTGTCGTGCACCAGGAGGAACTCAGGACCCACTGCACCAGCATAGGGTCTGACAATGGGTCCAAGAATTTCATTCTGATACCTAATGGCAGTCAGTCGCTAGAGGACGCTGGGCCCTCAGGCCACCCTCGTGAAGTCTGTTTCTAATTGTTTGGTCATAGACATTCACATCAGTGGCCTGCTGGAGGTCATTTTGTAGGGCTCTGGCAGTGCTCATCCTGTTCCTCCTCGCATAAAGGAGCAGATACCAGACCTGCTGATGGGTTAAGGACCTTCTACAGCCCTGTCCAGCTCTCCTAGAGTAACTGCCTGTCTCCTGGAATCTCCTCCATGCTCTTGACACACAGCAAACCTTCTGGCAATGGCACATATTGATGTGCCATCCTGGAGTTGGACTGCCTGTGCAACCTCTGTAGGGTCCAGGTATGGCCTCATGCTACCAGTAGTGACACTGACCTTAGCCAAATGCAATTGACGGCTTCTTTTTCCCTTCACTTTATAGCTCCAAATAGGAGCTGTCATTCACCCTGCCACTAAAGTAAACAAAAGGGCAGGGTCACTGGGAGACCCCACCTCTTTGTTTACTTTAGCGGTGGGGTGAATGACAGCTCCTTCTCGGAGTTATAAAGTGAAGAGAAAAAAAAAGCCGGCAATTGCATTTAAAAACAGGCAATGACATTTAGCGGTGGCAAATAAGAGAGCTGGTCTGTATACACTGCTTACCTCCTCCTCTCCTGCTTTTCTCCTCCCCCCATCTGCAGTTCACACTGCCTTAACAAACCCCCTGGCCATATAGTCCGTCTGCCCGATTGGGGCCTGGGTCGCTCAGGCCGCAATCATTGGCACTTGTCTCGGCTCACTTTTACCTATCGGCCGTTATTTCGGTGTATCCCTGGTTCCGGTCCTTTCCTCCATGCCAACGACATCTAAGAAAAAGAAGCCTGGGGTGGAGTCAGGCTTCAACCACTGAATCCTATGTGTGTATACAGGTGAAGATATCTGAACATTCTGGTACAAAAGAATATAAAACATAGAAGGATACAGCCCCAGCCGTGTTCCAACATCGAAGATAAACCGAGCTCCTTCTCTTCTGTATCTGGCTTCAGTGGCCGGGTCAAGGCCTTCCTGCTGAGAAGGGGTGTGAGCCAAGTCCTTCTTGTCCCAATACCAGCAGGGCTTGGCAGGGTCCAACGTGCCAGACGCCACCGAAGGGCTCGAGTTCTCTTTATTTTCCTTCATCGCAGCTAATTCCACTCATGAAAATGATCTGGAAAGAAAAATCAGAATGGCAATAGGCGTTTCATGAGTGCTAGAACCAATTAGGAGAAACTAGCTTGATCCCCATTTCTGTCATGCTGGGTATCCCTGAAAAAGTCTGAGCACAGTGACATAATGAGAGCTGATACATAAGAAATAAAAATGGGAAAGCACCTCTGTAGTATCATCAGAAATGTTTATTATTACCAGGGTGGATAAAAATCAATGATTTTTTTTTTAAAAATCAAAAAAAAATTGGATTTTTTTTATTTAAATCAGATTTTTTTTAAATAAAATGCTTTTTGAGGAAAATATATTACCATCCAAAGGTTATTCCATCATGAAATAAAGATTAGTTTTTTAATTATGTAGAATAAGGCTGTATATGTTTAATTTTTTGGGTAAATAAATCCCATGAATCCATTCACAATGTCATGCTCTTCCAGAGGTTTTTGTAAGATTATTGGGCAGTTTCTCTGCCTACAAGATATTATCACAGATGATTGGTTTACTTTTGCAGTTCTCAAAACTGAATTGGACTCAGCGGAGATCACATGCCTCTTCTTCACAGCAAAAATGTTATAACATGAACAGAGTTAAGAAAAAGACCTTCATCCTAACTTCTACAAACCTATGAATACAGAATCAACCCCGTCAGTGCGAAGTTTCAAGAAGTTCAGTGAATAGAATAGAAACAATATTTTTCTGATTGTTTGGAGTGGAATAGATCTGCACAAGAAGAAAGTGAAACTAAGTGTGAGGAGGAAGGGGCTGACAGTCTAAGTTTCTTCAAATATATATATTTTGTTTAGCCAAATTAGTTACAAACATGGATGTTTAAGCAAATCACATATGCTGGAATGTTATTGTTTCAGTTGAATAAATCTATTTAAATTGTTATTATTAAGGTAATGATTATTTTTCTCCTTCCTAAATACAACAGAAAAGTTGTCCAAATATGAATGATTAACCTATTAAACTGGGGATAAAAAAACTAATATGAAAAGTTGTTATTCTAAAAATCTTCATCTACTTGTATATTAAAGTTATACCAGCAAGAATTAGTCTTTATGTAGAAAACTAGGATTTACATCAAGCCGTACTGATTAGTGATTTCTGCTGTCTGCGCACAACGTCCTGTGTGCATGAGGCCTAAATACCACCAAAAGAAAGCCTTACTGGTCTGCAAAAAATGATAAAATGTCATATGGGTATAGTGTTGCATGACCACGCAATAGTCATCCAAAGCGCGACATCACTGAAAATTAGCAGGAAGGAGGTGAAAGTGCCGGTAGGCAAGTGGTTAAGAAACTGTCCACTTCTTTTATTTTTCGACCAACTGCAATTTTCGGTTTCAGCCCAGATTTTTCATTCCGGTGCACCACTACCATTGATGTTTGCACTGCTTGCATCAGGACTGAGGGCTCTGTAGAGGAGTACTGAGGCAGGGGGTTGTCATGTTTTTGGGAAGCTATGTACGGCACCTTGCCGGCTCCTCCCACCAGCCACGATCTGTCTGTGTTGCATAGAGAAGCACAGAGACCCAGCGATGACATCATTGGATGTAAAATAAAGTATATACTGAAAACTGGAAGGTTTTATGTAACAGGTCACTAGCATGCTGATGAAGAACAGGCAAATTAGATCATAGCAGCAGCTTTAGAGGGAACTTGTCAGATCAGACACATAACAATGCCATCTGCTGCCCCCTCCTGGAAATACCACCATCCTGGCTTCTATACTGTGTGCCTGGCTGTCCTGGAGGAAGATTTCCTGGCCCACGAGACTGACATGGTCCTAGTACCCTGAACTGACCATATAAGGAGTGGAGGCCCTGGCAACTATATACAATGAAAGGCACCATAACTACTGGTCACGTGACCCTCCAGCTCCTGAGGCACCACTAGGCCCAGCACACCCTGAGGTCAGAGTGGTAGTTAGACCACAGCTGGAGGGCCTCGTGCGTTTTTGTCTGCCCACCAGAGCTCTATTTAAATCTCCCCGCACTCACCCCAGGCCCCGGCCAGCCAGAAGCTTCCGCCGGTAGGAGATACACTACGAGCGCAGCGATCTCCCCGCCGCCATCTTGGTACCTAACGTGCTTGGTAACGTCGCGACGCAAAGCCACGCCCACTTCGCCCTCTCTTAAAAGGACAGGGTTGCGGTTCGTCCAATGGCCGCCCGGGCCGTCAGGTGGAGGGGCGTGGAAAGCGCCGCCTCGCCGCAACCTACCTTGAGAATTGGAGGACGAAAGGGGCGGGGTAGGGTTGTGAGTGACATGAATGCTGTCCAATGACGGGAGGGGTCTGGCCGGAGTCGGCCCAATAGCGTCTGGGAAGGGCTGAGAGGAGCTGGGCGCTGGCGGTAGGAGGTTAGGGTGTGCGGGGTTCTTCTCTCCATCCTGCCAGGCGCTGTCTTCTGGTTTCACCCCCGCAGAGGCGCCACTGGAGGCATTGGAGAGCCGCGGGGGGGACACGGGAGGTAAGTGCTGAGTCTTCCTTCCGGTCCCCTGCGGGGTGACACCCAGGAGCTCACACTGTGTGTGGAGGTGATAGGGCTGTACCCAGGAAGGGGGTGCACAGGCCGCCCTCCAGGGTTCCTGAGGTGGGCGGGGCCTGGCTGTCAGCTGACATTCTGCTCAGACTGTGGCCTGGTCATAAGAATGGCTCATCCAATATTTCATGGCTGTCATAGCCAGGGGGGTCCAGAGGGGGCGCCAGACGTGAATACCCCACATGACTGAGGTGTGAATGGAGCCTTGGGTGTATACAGGGTGCCTGACAATGCTGCCTGTCCTCTACTGCCAGGAACATTGCCTGTAGTATCTGGGGCAGACAATGTAAACCCAGGAGCTACAGGGGGCCTCGACTGTGGCCCAGGAGAGCATAGGGCCCCTCGTAATATTACTATGTAATCTTCATGAAGGCAGCTGAACTGTAGCAGACTACTAGTGAGCGAAAGCAAGAGGCAGGAGCCAGTCAGAGGGTCCAAGTAAGCTGCAAGAGATGGGCAGAGTGCACGAGCGAGCGGCAGGAGACGGGCAGAGAGCAGGAGCGAGTGGCAGGAGACAGGCAGGAGCGAGGGGCAGGAGACGGGCAGAGAGCAGGAGCGAGCGGCAGGAGACGGGCAGAGAGCAGGAGCGAGCGGCAGGAGACGGGCAGAGAGCAGGAGCGAGCGGCAGGAGACGGGCAGAGGGCAGGAGACGGGCAGGGGCGAGCAGCAGGGGACCGGCAGAGGGCAGGGGCGAGTGGCAGGAGACAGGCAGAGGGCAGGGGAGAGTGGCAGGAGAGACGGGCAGAGGGCAGGGGCGAGCCGCAGGAGCCAGGCAGAGAGAGAAAGCGAGCAGCAGGAGACGGGCAGAGGGTCCAAGCAAGCTGCAGGAGATGGACAGAGAGCACGAGCGAGTGGAAGGAAATGGCTAGAGGGTGCAAATGAGTGGCAGGAGATGTCCAGAGAGTGCCAACAAATGGCAGGAGGTGGCCAGTGAGAGCAGGAGGCAGGGGACAATTAGAGGGGACGCAAGCGAGCTTGAGGAGATGGCCAGAGAGAGCAAAAGGGAGCGCGAGGAGATGTCCAGAGAGAGAGGAAGGGAGCGTGAGAGGAGGCGGCCAGAGAGAGAGGAAGGGGGAGCGTGAGAGGAGACGGCCAGAGAGAGAGGAAGGGAGCCTGAGAGGAGACGGCCAGAGAGAGAGGAAGGGAGCGTGAGAGGAGACGGCCAGAGAGAGAGGAAGGGAGCGTGAGAGGAGACGGCCAGAGAGAGAGGAAGGGAGCATGAGAAGAGACGGCCAGAGAGAGAGGAAGGGAGCGTGAGAGGAGACGGCCAGAGAGAGAGGAAGGAAGCGTGAGAGGAGACGGCCAGAGAGAGAGGAAGGGAGCGTGAGAAGACGGCCAGAGAGAGAGGAAGGGAGCGTGAGAAGACGGCCAGAGAGAGAGGAAGGGAGCATGAGAAGAGACGGCCAGAGAGAGAGGAAGGGAGCGTGAGAGGAGACGGGCCAGAGAGAGAGGAAGGGAGTGTGAGAGGAGACGGCCAGAGAGAGAGGAAGGGAGCGTGAGAAGACGGCCAGAGAGAGAGAGGAAGGGAGCGTGATGAGACGGTCAGAGAGAGGAAGGGAGCGTGATGAGACGGTCAGAGAGAGGAAGGGAGCGTAAGGAGACGGTCAGAGAGAGGAAGGGAGCGTGAAGCGAGCGAGCTGCAGGAGCTGTTCCCAGGGTGTGAGTGAGCTGCAGGAGATGTTCAGAGGGAGAAAGTGAACAGGAGGAGACAGTCAGATAGCCAGAGCAGATGAGCGATAGGAGATGTCCAAAGATTGCAAGTGGGCTTCAGGAGAGAGTCAAAGGATGAGAGCGAGCTGGGGTAGATAGAGAGCACAAGTGAGCTGCAGGAGACGGTCAGAGACTGCTAGAGAACTTCTTTGCAAATAAATGTTCCTGGTGTATCCAAAGTGCCAGTTAACGAGTATCCGCTTGTCACATGTAGAACTCGGGCCTGCAGCTTGGGCTCCTGAAGGACACCTGGCAAGTGAGAAGCTGGAACAGAGAGGCCCTTGCACATATTTTTTAAAAGCTCAAGGATCCTGTAGGCGTGAGGGAGTTTTGTATGCAAATATTGACTTTAGGCCCTGAAGTCAAAGCCCTTGCTTGACGGCATTTTCTGAATGGAACCCGTGCCAAATGGCCGACTTCTGTGTTCCAAATGCAGTTGGCTGGCCGCTCAGCACGGGGCCTGGGAGAAAGTGGGGATCACTGGATCAGTGCTGTTTATTTCAGTGATTTGCATCTTTTGGGGCATCGGCCAGGTATGGTATATACAGAGTTACATTGGTCCAGACTGGAACCAATATACAGTGGGGAACAGAAGTTTTTGAACACGCAGCGATTTTGCAAGTTCTCCCACTTAGAAATCATGGAGGGGTCTGAAATTCACATTGTAGGGGCATTCCCACTCTGAGAGAGAGAATTAAAAAAAAAAAATTCAGGAAATC